TAGTGAGTTAACTTCACTCCAATCATACAGTTTCTCTAGTGAGGCATTCGTTTCTTTAACAAGGTCTTCTATCTCTGTACCTGAAAAAAAATAGACTGGTATCATCGGCATAAATGATGAAGGATGGGGCTTTGCTGATATTAACAATATCGTTTATGTATAAATTAAATAACAAAGGACCTAAAATGCTACCTTGTGGTACTCCAGCTCTAATGGGTAGGACAGAAGAACTCTGTCCATTTATCACGACATATTGCTGGCGAAATTTAAAGTACGATTGTAAAAGGTTTAAAGGTACACCGCGAATTCCATAGCATTCGAGTTTTTTTATTAGGGTAGTATGGTCAATACGGTCGAACGCCTTCGAAAAATCAATGAAGACGCCTAAAGTTAACTTTTTTTCTTCAAACGACTTTAAAATTAACTCCTTCTGCTCTAGCAAAGCGAACTCCGTTGATCGACCTCTGCGAAAGCCGTACTGTGAGTCAGAAATTAATGAAAATTTAGTGCAGAAACTCGTCACTCTATTGTGAATAATCTTTTCAAGACATTTCGAAAACACAGGTAATATTGATATTGGCCTATAATTCGAAAATTCATTTTTGTTCCCTCCTTTAAACAAAACAATGACTTTTGCAGTTTGCATCTTTTTAGGAAAAATACCACTGGACAATGAGAAGTTCATAATGTGTGTTAACACAGGTAATAGAACGTCCAAAACATGCTTAATTGGTTTTATCTGCAAATCGTCTATATCACAGGAGTTGCTATTTTTAAGAGATGACATAATTAAAGTTATCTCATTTTGATCAGTTGGAAAGAAAACTGCGCTGTGTTCGTTTCTAGGGTTCATATACGTCATTGATGAAGGTATATGTATGCTACTAACAAGGTTAGTTAAAAAACAATTGAAAGCTTCAGCGAGAGCTTTTCCTTGCAATGTTACCCCATCTCGTTGTATTACGTGTATAGCTGGTTTAGAGGGACACCGTTTTAATACTTCATTTAGCCGTTTCCATACCACATCTGTTCTATCCATGCATGACTCATTGAATAAATTATTAAGGTAGGTTTGTTTTGCCTGACGTAGAGCATTGTTCAATGTATTTCTAAATTGTTTAAAAAGAGCAAGGTCCTCAGGTGCTTTTGTTTTAAGGAAGACATTATAGAGTTTATTTTTTTTCTGAATCATTTTCCAGCACTTTCTATTTACCCAGGGCTTGCGGTTTTTTTTAAACTGTTTTATTTGTTTATACGGAAAACACTTGTCGTAAATATTTTTGAAAATATTCAAAAATTCATTGTACGCTTCATTGGCAGTTGTTGCAGAGAATACAGAGTCCCAATTAGTATTAGAAATAATTAATCGGAATTGTTCTAATGTAGTGGGATTTATACTTCGGGTCATGTTAGTAGGTTCCTTATCTTCATTAACAAGCTCAGTGGCCTGGGGCACAGTTTTGTGTATAAACATAATAATTGGCAAGTGATCACTTAGACCATAACCTAGAACACCAGCACTGATGAGACTTTCCTCGCAATTCGTCACAAACACATCAATCAATGTTGATGACGTGGTTGTGACACGAGTGGGAGGGACAATGACATTACAAAAGTTATTAGACGTAAGTAAAGTAAGAAATTCATCTCTAAGACGCGTTTGCTCTAGCAGATTTATATTCACATCTCCACCAAGAAAGAGCGTACATCCTTCCTCATTTGCAAAACAAAATAATGTTTCTAAAAATTTTAAAAATACTTCAACGTTTCCACCAGGTGGACGATACAAAACAGAAAATATGTCCCGTTTTCTTCTAACACAAAGTATTTCATAGTTCCGTGTCACGATAGAATAATCGGAAAGAATTTCGAGTTCAGAAAAGTTTGCTTGCAACGAGACACCGCCACCACGTCCATACCCACGGTTTAAATAAAAGTGGCTATATCCAGGAAGTACAAAAAAATCATCATCATCTTTATACCATGTTTCTGTTAACATAATAATATTAAATGAACTCTGAACGGAATCAAAAAGCATCATTAGGTCATCTCCCTTGGTCCTGGCAGACTGTACATTTAAATGAAAAAAACTGAAAGTATTTCTACCTCTTCTATTCATAAAAAAATTCAATTGGTCAGGCGTCAACACATCAAGGTTCTCTGCCATAATGATGCAGTACACTAGCAGAAAAGAACCAACATTATTCAACAAATCTGATTCAGGTCATCCTCTTTCGAAATCGTGATAATAGGGGTGTCGCCCGCTTTTTTTGCAAATATCTTTCCGTTTCGGACCCACACATATAGCCAACGATGCTCACGTTTCTTAGATATCGTCATCCCAAGCAGTTTCTTCAAATACGGGCACAAATGCTCGTTTACATAAACTGGAGCCTCCGTTGAGAGGCCAAGGTCACAACACGAGATTCGTTTTTTCTTTGCCTTTTCCAGGACACAGTCTCGCTTCTTACGGTTCTGGAAGCGAACAATGATATTGCTCTTTTCCCTATCTCTTGTCGGCACCCGATGGCATGCTTCAACATCTGCCTTGGTTATCGGCTCGCCGATTACTTCACAGAGTTTACTTATCAGTTGGTCGACATTTTCAGCTTGGTCCTTCGGGATTCCCTTCACCTCGAGGTTGTTGTTGCGTGAGTATTGCTCGCAGCCGACTAACCTGTTTTCGGTTTCCTTTAGCGCTCTGGCCAGTTCGCCACATTTACCGTTCAGTTCAGCGTTTTCTTTCTTCAAGCCGAAGTTTTCTTTTTTGATTAAAGCGAGTGACTGCTTCATTGATTCGTGCTCCTCGCTAATAAAGGTCATTCCTTTTTTTATTTCCGTTAACTCTTTCAAATCGGCACGTATATCACGTAACTCTGTCCTGATATCCCTCTCGAGTGACTCCCTGAACATCCTGAGCTCCTGTTTAAGTTCATCCTTGAATTCGTTCAACAGTTTGACTACGTCTTTCGACATAGAGAAAAACAATGAAAATGAACACAACCAACACGCTAGGCTTGGCAGCAGCGACAGCGAAAGCAACAGCAACACTAGTAGTCAAGGGAAGTTAGAACCAACCTGAAATTGTTCGTAGATTTAGTACGTGATGCAGTTGCCGCCGCCGCTGCCAAATGACGGACACAGTGAAGACAGTCGTCTTTTGAAGATGAGTTGCGCACGGCTCGTAGTGTTGTCGGCCAATCACCGGCGGGCAGGAATCGATGACTTGATCGTAGCCCAGCGCAGCAGTTGCAGTCCGTCGATCACGGCCAGGCTTTGTAGCACCTTGATAACCCGATAACCTAGCGGTGTACGAATCAATCCGAGGTCTGAGCAACGTAGGGCCGATTGTCTCCTTCGTGGCAGTATCCCCGTCGGTCACTAGCGAAATGCACACCGTTCCTCCGTATTTTCACGACGCTGAACTCTGAAGTCGCTTTCGACCGGCCTCATACAACCTCATATGACGGCTTCCGCCTCTAAAATCAACTCGCCGAGACGAACGACAACGAACAAAGCATCCGACAAGCTCCGGCCAATGCTCGGGCCCAGCTGGGGTCAGCCGCTGCATGGGCGCTGCCATCTTTTCTGTGACATCACGTCTTTGGTTTGGTCATGTGACGAGTGATCAAATTTGCGTACAATGGCAGCGGCCTTATGGGGGTCACTTTCGAGTGCAGACGGGAACCCAGGTTTATCGCTCTAAGCCCCTCTACCACGTTGGTGATAACGGTCATTAAATGCCTCCGTGTTGTCGAACCGGTGTGCTGTGTCATTCTCCGAGACGGATAGCCAGCAAGGGAATTCCCAGAAGCTATACGCGCGGAGACGAGACAGCCTGGCACGCGGAGTAACGGTTGAGGTCGGGGGCAAACAAAACACGTGGTCGCGTTTGGGGGTAAACAACCACAGGAGCTGCGCAGGAAGCAGACGAGCTTGAACGCCGTATAGTCGCTGAGAGCTGAGAAAACGCCGCGCGCGTCTTATACCCCATTCACATGGTCGTAGAGGTCCCTTTAGCGAAGGGACATTATGGCCCTCGGCGAATCCGTTTGGGATCCTCTGCGCGTGACAAGTGCTCGCGACCCAAGAGAGCGGCTGATTCGCCGATTTCAAAGGGACCTATGTTTAATGTATGTTGGCCGTGTGAATGGCATATTATACCCCATTCACACAGCCAGCATAAAGGTACCTTTAACATAGGTACTCTTTCATTCAGCAAATCAGCCAGTGCTCTCGGGTCGCGAGCACTTACCACGCGCGGAGGATCGCGAACTGATCCGCCGCCGACCGTAAAGATCCCTTAACTAAAGCGACCTACCTGTACGACTGTGTGAATGGGGTGTTAATGTGCTTTAGAATCTTGAGCATTCTTCATTCCTCGGCGTTATGCGCTTATCCCGCACTTTTATTAACCCTGGGGCCATCATAAGACACATGGGGTCGGTGGCCAAGAACTCTTTCCCTGGGTCATGTGCCTAGCACATGTGTATATAATGGAAGCGATAAGATGTTTACAAATGCCCAATTTTGTTGGCTGTTGTGGCCAACATGTAAGAGGGCTATCCAGCACAATCGAAACCGACTTTATATGTACATGCTGCATTGTAGTGTGGCAACTAAGAAATAAAATTGATTTGCCTTGATTGATATGATACAAGTTGCTGCAGTGCTCTCGCTCGTTGTTGATTTGTAGCACGACAGATATCAGGACCTGGACTAATGGCGGCCGCGAAGAAACTTTCAAATTCTGGTAGAATTAAAGTAAAAGTTAAGTCCCTGCATTCCTTTTTTCATGTAATTCCTGAAGGTGAAGCTAAATGAGGTTGATAAAATATTCTAATAGGTATTCTAATATAGAAAGATACTGTAAATACATCAATTTATTGTGATTATCTGCTCATATAAAGCTCAATACGCAAGTCAAAAAGAAGCGCTTTTATTTATACTTCTTCAGAGGTGTGGACATTTGAGATCGCCATTTTCCAACTTGCACCTGCTTAACAGACTTCATTTTCAATATTTGAGCAGTTTCCGAACCAGCACCGCTGAAAAAAAGCGCATATCTTTGATCTCAGATTTCTCAAATTGTTCGTGGCGAGGCAACGAGGAATGTTAGCCTGCCTTCAAATTACGCATGATACGCAATTTAAGCACCACGAAGAAGTTTTAACGTAGAAGGTCTCTGTTACGCGTACTGGTCTGGTTTCGGCTTTTAGAGCATCATGTACATTACGAATAAGCATTTAACAAAGATTGGATAAGGTAAGCAAGATATTCCTGAATACACGTAGATATACTACAGGTGTGTATACATGTGCGAACAACTTAAGACAAAACAAGCATACACGTATACCCATTATATACGGACAGAGAAAAAACGCCTTCTGCGACAATATCACTTTTATTGAGGTTTGAGTTGTTTGCAATTTGTGACGAAATTTCCTGATTTGTTTTCAGTCCGGTTATAATGTGTGTGCGAGCAACACGTGACACGCCGAATTGGTTTCGTTTTTTTGAACCCGCCATCACATAGCACAGTCGCAATTTAGTTAAGAATTACGTGAAAGAGTGATTGGAAATTAAGATCAGACTAAGAATGCTTGAAATAGATAAGCGGCGCTTGTTCAATCTGCTATCTTTCTTTCTTTATATCAGTTCGAGAGTTCTCTTGCTGGCAATCAGCTCGGTTCAATGTGAAATCAGAGATAGACAGAGCTGGGCAGTATTGCGGTACACATGTATCCCGATGGTATCTTAGATACACTTCCAAGTATCTGTATCTTCCTTTCGAAGTACATGTCAAATATTTATTTTAATCTGAGTAGTAATCTCGTTATTTCGTTGCATTCGATGCCTAATTTTAACTGATGAATTTTTACAATAAATTGAAGAAAACACCTTTTTGGTGAACTCGCCATATAACCTTTTACAAGATCTAAACTAAATTTCAAAAAGTGGTTCTGAGAAAGATAGTTTTAAATGAATTACACAATAAGCGCTCTTCCCGCGAAGTCCTTCACTGTTTCCTCTATGCTAGAGCGAACGCCAGAGAAGAGGAGAGTAGGAAAACTGAAACCTCCAATCATCGAGAGTAGAGGAGATTATCTTCCTCTGATTTTGCAACAAAGAGAAGTTCGGCTCTTTTTGTCCAATCTTTCCACCCTGGGTTTGTAGGACAATTTGAGACGCACCGTCGCAGCAAACAAGGGTCTATTTTAGACAGATGTCTTCTGTCAAGCAAGGCAGGCAGTCGTTAGCATCTGGTACCTTGGGTGCCTACATGTTTTCGCCGCTCCGCTGTTTAGGGTGGCGACAACGTTTGTGATACCTGTTGCCGAGAATCCAGTGTTGCCTACCTCATTACCATGGCAACCTCCGGTGTTTTTGTCGACCATTTTGTCACACTCGCCGGTCGAGCGCTCGGACTACGCCACTAATCCTCGTTATTGCTAGGGAGCGCTCACCGCTCTCGTTCCGACGGCGAGCTTTCGGCGTTCAATGCCGGTCTGATGGGTTCCATTTTGTCGCGGAAACTCGCGTTTCGATAAAAGCAACGTACACTTCCTGCTCGCAACTTCAAAATATGAAACACCCGAATAAAGAGAGCGACAACCACGACGACCGCCATCCCGCTAAGCCTCCGACTCCCCTTATGAACGGAAACGGAAGTGGCCCCCCATTGTTGCCGGTGTGTCGAGACTACAGAAACTCAACGTTGTTTACGTTTAGCGAACTAAAAGTGGGGAAAAAATGGCGGTGGGAGGGGATCTGGGAAAGGGTAACAAGAAGTTGGTGCCACCCTAAAGCGGAGCGGAAACATGTAGGCACCCTACTTGCACCTATAAGGGTCGCTGGGGGCGACATTATATTTTCGCTTCATTAGGGATGGCAGCTGTGCACAGATGATAGGTTTAACGTATCGAGGTGGTGCATAAAGTAACGCAAACGGAGTAACACAAACGCCCCAGTTTTCATTCGTTACGAATTGCATCCTCCGCACCTACGAAAACTTTGAAAGAAATGTGTTTCTTGAGAAATCTATTTTGCATTGCAGGTTTTTTTTTTTTTGTATTTGCAGAAACATCTTGGGGATATTTCTGTATCTGTAATTTCGCCTTGAAATATACGTACCTCAGTATATGTATTTCTGATTAGTTTTATCTTTGCCCAGCCCTGGATTCAGACAAGTCTGCCGTGCTTGCAGTTGCATCTCATTATTCTCATCACTGTGAGGCCGAAGACATTAAGGAACTGAAAGTTGTCAGACGCAGCTTTCCCATAGCGTGTTAATGCAATTGTCACTTTAGTGTGTGGCGTCTTATGTTCCCGCTACTTGCTTTGTGATTGGTTCTTCTGCGATTTTATCCGCTAATGCCGCACTCTCATTGACTGACGAATGATAACTAGATGCCCGGGACTAACCACGCCCGACGCTTCTTAAGTTTTCAGGTGAGCTTTTCTTTAGGCTGAACTGATTTGTTTAAAAAATGCCTCGAAAGCGACACTGACGCGGTTTGCTCGCGTGAGTTATACGGCCGGAGGGACGTAATAGAGGGATTAGTTGTCAAGGTGAGTCGGCTAATCAACTAAAATATATTTATTAACGTCTAAGGTGGTAAAAATAAACATGCGGTTCCAAATAGAAACTTTCTGCGCGTCGTCGGGAACCACATAATCTGTCATTGTTCAGAAAGACTAAGTGCAAGCGGAAAGAGGGGTGGAGCGATAAATGTAGCACTCATGCAGCAGCAACAAGGCTACCTTTGCGTTAACTCACCCCCGCGGTTTTTCGCTCTCTATTTCATTCGTGTTCTCTCAATACCAGCCTTGTGAATGTTGTACGAGTGGTAACTTCAGCGCACTACTGCGCTTCCAATGCGCTCAAAATTCTGCAACGAATTGCCGATTGATTTGTTTCCTATGACTCTTAGAGAGTTTCTAATTCGAATCGCATGTTTATTTTTACTGTAAAAAGTAATTAACGCATTAGCTAATAATTCGACTTATTGTGACGTTAATCCCCTTACACTATATCCCCGTAGCCGTGTAACTCACCTGGACAGACTGCATATGTGTAGCTATCAAAAACTTTTTGGAAACGAATCTCTGAAGCCTAAAAGAACGCGCTGTGTATTACAGCAGATTAATTGGAGCCAGATATTACTTGCACCTCGAATGTGTCGAAGTAATTAAATATGTATCTAAAATTAATTGTGCACGTAGTGTTCGCTAGGAGAAAATATACTGGTAAGCCGGTGTTGAAGTACACACGGAGTGAATGTCAGTTTAAGAATCGCAGGGTGTCGACATTTATGTTCCGGATTCTGACTACGTGATTAGTACTTCGGCGTTCTTATCCACTGATGCTGCCATCTTCTGGGCTACCGAGCAATGATAAAATGTTCAGTACCCGATACTCTCTTCGTTTCTTAAATTGTCGGTGCTCTAGCTTCCTTTACTGAGACGTTTCCTTTTCTCCACTAAACAGACAAACCCATGCGCCCAAACTGCTTGGAAAGGTTAAAAAAAAATTATTTTGAGAGTCCTACCTTTCCTCCATCCCCGCACGGGTAACCAAATGGAGCAAAGTGGATGTTCTCCTTTATTTGGTAGGAACCGTTTTTAATGGTCACATTATTACGGCACGTTATGACGCAGTTCTCCATCTTCTGGAAATATTTGTCGTAAGAAAGGTAGTTAGCTTCAAATATTTGCAGTGGGACAAATGTTTGATTACGTTTCCAACATTAATTAAGATTGCACATTGTGTAGAACGTATTTTCACATAACCAGATACACTGTAGCAAATGCAAAGCGTCTTCGACAACGAATCCTTTATCAATTGAAACAAATTATCAGCGAATAAGGAAATGTTAACATATTTTTGACCTATGGGCCTCTGTGATCTGGCTGAAAAGATTGAACTTAAGCATGCTTCTAACTTTTTCTGGAAGTTTATTTATGTCGTGCAGGTTCTATTTCCGGTACATGTTTATGAATTTCACATCCGTTTATGTCTAGGTTTCATATCCAACGGTCTAGTCGATCTACATGCAATACCCAAGAGGCGTTCGAGGTAATGGAATACAGTCAAGAGGGATTTTGTTCTTACATAGGACTGCAAATACTAAGCCTCAAATTAAGATCGTACTGTTCATGACACAGTAAAGACATAATAGACATTACTTGAAAGGTAGTTTTTTTTGTTGTTGGAAACGTGTTTATTAGGACACGACTCAAGAATTGCCCAAACAGAAAAAAAGGAGTGCGCGGCAAGCAAGAAAAAGTGCGCACGCCTCTAAAAAGCGTAAAGGTTGTGGCGCGCCCCTGCGTTTTCAGTGAGGACATCAACCACACAAACAGCAGGCGTTTCCTCCTCGCCTCCTCGCTGTTGTCCCCTCCTCTTTCTGGTTTTCGGAAGATTGGGGACTAAAAACAGCGGGGTCTTGACGAGAGGAAACAAAGCGTGTGAGTGACTCCGAATCCACGTGATGACTACGCTTCAAGCTTCTGTCTAAGAACGCAAGCCGTAAATTACTTTTTCCCCAAGGAAAGAAAAAAAATGAAAGACGTTTACAATTTCCTGTAATGCCGAATTAGAGCACAGCTCTTGAGGAAGAGGAGGGGAAAGTACGGAAAGGAGGGTATGCCCCTCCTCCTCCTCCACCTCCATACCCTGTCCTCCTCTCCTTCTCTCTCTCCTTTTTTCCTTCCCGTTCTCCTCCTTCCTCTGCCCTTCCATCATCCTCCTCTTCCCTCCACCCCCTGTCATTCCAACACCACCTAGAGGAGAAGGCCAGCACACGCCTCCGGTGACGTCACGGCAGCAGGCTGACGAGCGCCGCGCTATAGAGCTGAGCTGAAAGCTTCGCGCGTAGCTTTTACGTCGTAAAAACGCGGGTTTTCGCTCTATTTACTTTTTATGAGCTAACATGAGAGCTGTGAACGCCGAGTGATATAAAGAACCAATTTTAGAACGCAGGAAAATTCTTATAACCTACAATTATTGTAGTGAAATCCAAGAAAGTGATATCTTGAGACAGATGTGTTATTTTTTTAGGCGATAAACTTGGTGGTGTAATTATCTCTGAACGACATGGAACTTGTGTAATAAAAAAGAATCCCTATGAAATAACAATAATCGAAGTAATAGGACCAGATAAAATGAACTAAAGTAACAATTGGAAAAATGATGCAGAGGCATTCATTACATTTCATTTATTCACCTCAAAGGCATCCAAAGACGCATTACATCAGGGGAAATTAAAAAAAAAATAAGACAAAATAGTAATTGAACATAAAAAAGACACCAACAAAAAGAAAATGTCACACACACACACACAAAACCGCTTTTTAGCATGTTATTGTTATGCACTTTTTAAATGAAATGGGATATCTCTGTTACAATATAGTCAGGTAGTTTGTTCTAGTCAGTGTTGCAAAGTACTAAGGAAGAAAAAAGTGTAACTATGGCACTGAAATGGTTCAATCTTGAAGGAATTATCTAATATGAATGATATGAAATGGACAGCCCAGCACTAAGTAGATTGAAAATTGGAATCTGAATAATATACATCTTAAAAAAAACAATAAAAACAACACAATCAGACTATTTTTGTCTTCTTTCTGGATTAGGAATATTTATGCTAGCTTTTAAAGCGGAGACACTAGTTTCGGATGAATAATCACTACATATAAATCTGTCTGCTTTGTTCTGAAGATTCGAGCCTCTAGATTATAGGTAACTTAGGAGTGGATTCCAAATTATGCTCGCATATTCTAAAGGTGGGAGGATAAATGTTTTGTATACGAGTAGTTTTGCTTTAATAAGAGCTATATTCCTACTGAAAAATCTTATCTGTATGAGAAACTTCTGTGTCCAATAAACACATATGAATCATACAAGATATATAAGAACATATAAGAGCCCTATAAGAACTAGATTAGAATATAAGAAATTTGTAAGAAGTTTCTTATATATCTTATATAGTTCTTATATGGTTATTATATATCTTGCATGATTCATGCGTTCATTGAACACAAGAATTTTCTTGTACACATGGCTTTTTTCACAAATTAAGTGTTTTTAGTGCACTATTTGTTATTTGCTCAATCCATGATAATGAGTCTGTAAAATACACGCCCAAATACTTGTACGACAGCGAGTGTTCTAGTGGTTCGGAAAGTAACAAGTACTGGGTTAGAGTTTTAGTGGAGGACTTAATTATGGACATTTCTTTGCATTTATATCTGTTAACATTCATCTGCCACAGGGAACACCATGGTGATATTGTATCTAAATCGTCTTGGACAATATTGTGAATAATAGAGGAGTAACTCAAGCATTAGCAAAACGTCTAATTGTCGATTTAATTGATAATGGTAGGTCATTGATATATATTAGAAACAATAGAGGCCCGAGTACACTACCCTTAGGGACAACTGATGCAACAGCAACGGGACCCAGATTGCCAGACAAGTATAAAAGTAATAACATTCTAAAATTGTGATGTGCTGGTTTGAAAAATGTATTGCACATAGTTTGAAAAATGTATTGCACATATTTTGGCAAACTTTTCTTAGACCTGTGATCAACCTGCATAGGTTTAGCAATTCAAAGCACTCTGCCTGTTCAAATATAGTACTTGTTTTGCAGCAAGCAACCTATCTGGTTACTACATCAAAAAACACCTGTGACCTATTTCTTGGCAATGTCATAATGTGAAAACTTTATGTTTGCAAAAAAAGTACCGTAATACCCGAGCGTTGCCCCATATGCAGATGTACTTCGACAGTACCGAGTCTGTGAAACGACACAGGGCGGCTAAAAACAAGTTTTGCACACAAACAGAAGTGGGCATGGGAGCTTGATATTCAAAGTTGCTTGCATTTACAATGCAGAAGAGTCATAAAGAAGAAATTGGTCACCTTTGAACACTGCGAAACAAGCCTCCTGGTATCCATAAGTTCTGAAAATATCCGTCTTCAAAAACATTTACACACATGCATCTTAGATGCTGTAGATTATGTGACACCGAGACACACAATATCTGAGCAGCATGTTGGCATTTCCGTTGTAGCACCACAAGATACCCAACAGACTGCTACAAGGACACCGATTATCTGCACACACACACACACAGATCCACTGACTTCAGAGAGCAGTTGCCTTTGCATGAGGATGAAGCGCAAGCATGTTGCTGGCCGGACACGAACTAATTTGTTTAGCCTTGACCTCTTACGTATCTTCCAACAAAGGTTCCTCAGTTGAAAGTTTTCACTGCAGTCCAACACATGCTTCAGCTCGAACTCACGATGGGTTCATCATCACAGGCGTCAGACATACTCTTCCTTGGTCCGAGTTCGCTTCTTGACATCCATGACGGTTGGCAGCGAGTGTCTTTGATCGAGTTTCAGCTTTTCATTTCTTTTGTTTGGCATTCTTGGCATTATTGCAAACATTCATTTCGCTACAGCATTTACACCAGCTTTGTCTTCCTGTGCGAGCGAACTGTAGCCAACTTGTTTCGTGCGTTCGACGCGGCCTTGCATTTTTCGCCCCTTAGGTTTTTTAAGGTGGTGTAGACTGCACAGCTGGCCACATAGCCCAAGGCCGGGAGGCTGTGCCTTATTTTTTTACAGCCCAGGGCCACATTGCAGGTATACCACGTTGCAGGAAGGGCGTCAAGTATCCGCTCGCTTGGGAAGATCTTTCTAGTTTCCATTGCTAGCTGTAGTGACCGTTGACATTGTGCTCCACAGCAGTATTCTGTTTTCATCTTCGCAAATGTGCCTTGTAGACACGTGATATTAGAGGCAAGCCAGTTGCCTATACATTCCGAAGTACTCTTCTAAGGTGTCAGTTTTCAGCTTGTCCCATGGAGGCCGTACAGTAGCCAGAGTTCATCAAAGCAGTATCCGGGATGTGTGACCGCTTCTGCAGGAAATAGAACGAAAAAGGAGGAAATCATATTAACCTAAAGAAAGGTAATGTAATCAAAAATGGTCATAAAAAGAAAAAAAAAAGAAAAGAAGAAAGAATGCTCTTCTTTAAGCTGAAGTGGTCCCGTAATTGAGAGAAAACACTGGCAGTGTTTTGATCTGGTATTTTGGATCACAAACATCAAAATTATTCTTGAATTTGATGTGCCGAATGCGCAATAATAATAATAATGATAATAATAATGCTTATTGCACGAGCACATAGAACCAGGCACAAAAAATAATAATAATTAATAGAGCTTCCTGGTGCGTGGTGGGATTCCTTGGGGAGCCTGAAGCAGCTCCAGCTAAATCTTTAGTATATGGCTCTGGTGTATGGATAAATAACTGATCAATGAACCATATTCTGGCTTGCGTGCACTCCAAACTACTGCTCAGAGACCCGCTAAAATATAGGTCTTACTAGTTAGCTGTAGCGGATCATTTCTGCGCTCCGATGAGCATACGCAGAAAAGACACAATGTACTTCTGTTGTTGTTTTTTAATTGATGTGCTGGTTGCAACCGCGGTAACCTATCACTTGCGTACCTTGCGAAAACATTCCAACATGAACTCATAAATCGGGTCATTTTTATTTAGTTCTGCACCTGCAAGTAGCGCCAGCATTTGAATGTGTTGCTTCCAGGCCACAACCAAATCACTCCCAAGCATGCATTCAGCGAAAAGTAAAAACAAAAAACGAAACCACGATCATAAAAATTAAAAAATTCTTACCCTGCCATACCGTCAAGGAGCGAGATCTTCCCATCGATTCGCTGTATAGTCCACGCTTTCGTAGTCATCCTTGCAGAAATTCAAATATGGACACTTTCACATCCAGTTTTCCGTCAATGCACGGATAAACAACATCTGTACCGAATGACAGCACCGACCACGCACCGACAACCGAAAAGCAGCTTTCACGGCTTTCACGTCCACACACGAGGCCGCGAGAGGACATTCCAAAATGTGCTCGATCTCACTCGAGAGTTGGACTTCTGACCCTCGGCGTCCAAAAACCTACTCGCGTCCAGAGTTGTTCTAGTTGATTCCTCCAGCCTTATTGTCACGTGACTCAACCCGCACGAGTAAGTAAAAAAAGCCGTCGAAGAAAGGAACGCGACAAACGACCGTTGGGGAGAAAAAGAAAAGAAAAAAAAAAAAACGCGACGCCGTGGCGCCTTTTTTTGTTTTTTGTGCCCCGTCGAGCGGAGAGGGAAAAAAAAAAGAAGAGAACGTCCATTGCAAAGAAGCCAAATATCAAGGGGAGCCTTGCGGAGAAGCGCACTACCAGTTTAGCCTACTCATGCCGACGCTCCTTGAAGGGAGAGAGGGAAGCGCTGCGGCTTTCCATCTAGGTGGTGTTGGTCATTCTCGTCCCCTCATCCTATCTTCCTCGTTCCCCTTCTCTTCCCCCTCCCTCCCTCCTCCCTCGTGACGTCACTCGTGACCCTAGTGACCTTCGTGACGTCACTCGTGCAGGCCTCGTGAAGGTCACTTCATGACGACACTCGTGACATCTCTCGTGACCCTAGTGACGCTCGTGACGTCACTCGTGAATGCCTCGTGAGGTCACGCATGACCTTCGTCATGCCCCTCCCGAGGGACCTTCATGACGACACTCGCGACGTCACTCGTGACCCTAGTGACCCTCGTGACGTCACACGAGACATCATTTTAAGAAACGTCCCATAATGTAACGAGCGGCTACACCGACGGCGACGGCGACGGTGACGCCGCTCAAGCCGGAAACGGGCGCCTAAGAGCTGCGCCTTATACAAAGAAACGTCCCAAAGTGGAACGGCACGGAACGTAAGGAAACCGTTCACGTCCGATAACGGCAAGTGCTGTGGCTGCACAAAACGTGTCCGGTTTGGACCGACCTTCAGCGGGCTGCGCGATTTGCTGAGAGATATGGGAGCGGTTTGCAGGCTGAGGATAGGTAAAAAAGAGGGGAAAGGGAATTATGGTTACGGCCGAAGAGAATTGCTCCGGGTTAATGCGTCGACACAACATCTCCGGTGTGATTCTGCGGCCCGCAACCTCCTTAGTGACAACAAAAAAGTCATAGTTGGATTTTGTTTTCCAGCATTCCTCCCCACGTAGCCTGCAAATAGACAAAAATCGATCAATATATGTTTTAAAATGAATATATGCCGAAATCTCGGAGTGTGCAATGGGAGAGGTACGGATGCAACATTTAAAGTTTTAATGAAAAGACACAAAGAAAAAAAAAGTATCCTTCAATTAGGATAAGGCCGCCGATATACTAATGCCTCTTTAATTGGAGTAATTACCCAAAATCCGTGCCAACAAAAACTCTAAAGGCCCTGTCACCCTGAGGCAACACGACAGCAGCAGCAGCTAGCAGCCACACAACATGTTGTCCAAAAGTAGGGGCAACTTATTGCTCGCTTCCCGTGTTATCCGTCAACCCTGTTGCATCGCGGCAAAAGCAGCACAGCATGGACAACGAACATTTTACCTTGCTAAGACAGCCATCGGCAACAAAAACAGCAGTAACTTGTTTGGACCGGCAACACCACAACACAGATAGCTTTAATGGCAGAGCTAATTCCATATCAACGTCTTTTTTTAAGAGCTTACTCAAATAAAAGCTTGGAAAATGTCATTTTACAATAATTAAGGCTGTCTTGCAGCCAAAAAAAAAATTTAATGAATGTTTTTACTGCGTAAGTACGGAACGGGCTTGTCGAGATGGTCACAGCTACGGTCGTGAACGTTCAGACTGGTGTTGAAAATAAAACTACCGAGAGCCCAGCTAACATCACTGCTAGTGAAAAAAATGGCACACCTACTCTCCCGCTGATAATGTATTTTTGAAATAATGCAGAAAAGCAAAGAATAAACAATTGAAGTATTAAAACAACCCCTATGATTATGATTATTGATAATTGGAACTTGTAAACAGCCGCTACCAAACACCCGAATTCATTCCAAAATGCCCAAGATATTTCGGGGAATGGAGCGATCACATAGCAGGCAATAGGCAAAGAGACAGTGTTGAAAAATATTCATTCCACCAATTATTATGGAAGCCGATCGTGTCGGTGTCGCAGTTTCTAAGCACCGTTAGCTCAACCCAACACCACGCTACAAAAGATGCTTTGGGGTGCTGCCGGTGCTAACTAAAATTTACAGTAGGAATAAATTTGCATGATAGAAAGAACCGGACAGATACACCTCAATCGGTGGCGTAAATCCCGAACATATATCAGCGAGTTCACTTTCCTCAAATAGGGATATCGGCTTTTTCAGCGAATGAAGAGCATCTCGATAGTATAAAGGCTGGAAAGTAGTCCCCGTGTCAAGTTTTCGAAATCCAGTCACTGTTTGATGTCCTCCCGTGGTAATTTCTAACCCTTCGTGCGCTCTAGTACTTTGTAGAGCTGCATTCCCAGCTACTCCTTGCCACACACGAACAAAGGTAAAGAATTAAGATGGCGGAGTATTCCCAGTGTTGGGACCGCCGTCAGCGCGGTGTGACAGGGTGGTCGGACAACGAATCGGCCAACACGGTTGCCTGACGGCAGCAGCATGTTGCCCTAATGTTGTTGATGCTGCGATGTGACAGGGTCACCCTAAACGCGTTTTACTCATGTTTATGGAGAGTTGTTCAACTGTTGTCTCAGTGTGACTGGGAGCGTGGCTAGTCGATCACTCTTGATATGTTTCTTTCGGTTTAGTTCGTTTGCACTAAACAACCTACGGACTTAGTAGGAATCTTGTAAAAACGATTTTTTTTTCATGCTTGCTGGATTCCGCAACCCTTAGGTAAAAGCTTTGATGTGTTATTGAAGTTGATATAATGACCATAATTTGTTTTTATCGAGATTAACGGCCCAACCACAATAGTATGCAGTTTCATTGTGAACGTTAAGCCTCGTGGTCTCTCCGATGACAGGTGATCTGCCAGTTTCTTTCAAATATCACTGACAGCTTCTAAGGAACTCGATGCGCGGCGTTTTTAACGCTTCTAGCTTCGTCCCTCATTATTCAATATCTTTATCGGTTAATGTCGCAAACTCATTCACTGGCAAGTGTTAATATTATACTCGATATGCTCAATATGCACAGCGCTCGGCGCTTCTTCAGCTGTCGGTTACGAGTCTTGCTTAATTTTTCTGTTAATTGCTAACCCACTGAAGGGTCCAATAATAGAGTAGCGCCATTTTTCGAAATGTCGTAGGCAAACTTGTGATTGCTTACGACTGGCTACTCGCAGCCGGTCATATACAAACACAAGTGGCTTTAAACTTGCTTGTAGCGCAGTTGCGGTCGAATGTAAGTGTGTGTAACCAGGTTTCAAAATACAGTCCCTAGTGAAGTATTTTAGCACACCCCCTTGCTCCCCTTTTCACTTCCATATATTTTTGTCAGATTCCAGTGGCCTCCTGGCGATGCAGCGAGTAAAGAAGGTAATGGGCCACGTCGTTCGCGTTCTCTTCAGGCTCGGTGGTTTATTCTTTTCACTCGCTAAGACAGAATTTAACCTGTTCTCTAACCTTATTCGCACGATCACATATATGTCCCAAAGTGGTAAAAATTACAATACAAGTTTTCAATACAATAGAGAAGAAAAGCTATTACTATTTATCCAAACATTTTGATACATCTCGGCTAGTCCAGCCCTTGTGACTGCGCTTCCTTATTAAAATACCGCCGGTGAGGCACACCAGAATCTCTGAAGGGTTTTCGAATACCCTTCAACAATTTCTGAGAGGTCTTAGATGCCCATCAAAGTTTTCTAAGGGGCATTACGTGCACATGAAAAATGTTTGAGGGGTGTAAGAGGCCTTCATATTTATTGAGGCCTTTCGGCTCTGTCGGAATCTTTTCGGCGACGCACGTGACCTATCGATATAGTTTTAAAGATATGTGGGAGAAATCATTTGAACCTTGAGGCTATATCCGTCGGAGAAGCCGCTGGCATTTTGCACCGGGCGGCCGCAACAAGCTGTCGCTCAGTGTCGACTTTGCCTCCCGCGCGGGGATCTATTTCCAAAAGCAGCTCCGCGTGCGGAAAAGGGAGGATGTTTCTCAGTTCCCTATTGCGCCTTCGTGGAAATGGAGCGTGCTGGTTAAGTTACGGTGTTTGTGGAGAACAACATAGAGGACGAAAACAGGACGTGCAGTTTTACGCATAATTCCTTCTCAGGAATTGGAGAAACGTGTCGTCCTGTTTTCGCCCTCTATTCTATTGCGCCTCTTTGTACTTTCGGCTTCCGGACATTGTCCAGTGAGCTAAAAACACCCCGGAGACTGTACAGTGAGCTAAAAACACCCCGGAGACGACAACGGTACGGCAACAGGGACGACACCGCCACCGTGCTTGGATTACCTCAAAGGCGGCCGACGTTGGTTACGTGTTCGTGACTTTTTCTGAACGTGTTGCTGACTGTGTATGTGTGTGTATGTGTGTGTGTGGTGCACCTCTACAGTTTTGCAAGTTGTACTACTGTTCTTCTGAGGAATTTACAAAGCAACATAATGAGTACCTTGAAGAATATTTTGTCGAAAAGAACAAGGTTGTTGCTATTTGGTCTGATTAATTTTAAATACAGCTGCTTGCGCTCTGGGTTCAGTACACTTAGGTGCCTATTTTCTTTTTGCGATTCAAAAGGCATGTATGGCTAAAGTCAAAACTAAACTTCCAGTAACGTTTAAAACAACAGCTTTTTTGGTATGTAAGTCTCAAGGGTCTGAAGGTCTGAAGGGTTTCAAAGGCTGAATGATTTGAAAGACTAAGGGCTCTGATGGCTGAAGGGGTTTTGAAGGGCTCACAGGGTCCCATAACACGTCAGGGCTAAAAGGGTAATTTCAATATGGTTCTTGCACCTGTTTTCTTCTCAAGGGTAAAGAAACCTTCTGTCTGTCAACGTGAAGCAAAATGCAACTTCCAAAACAAAATGCCGATCAACCACAATGCGCCAAACACAATTTTTTTTGGTGAACTACGACGTAAGAAACTGGGATTGAAAGTAACTTCCCGTCAACGGGCAAACGATGCACTCCAATTTAGGATGAAATAATTGCTAGGGGAACTGTCACGGGTCAATAGAATAAGAAAGTTCCGATGATGCCAGCACCTAGGGAACTTCAAGCATATGCTTACTTTAAAACAAATTGCATCCCCTCTTCACTACAATTCGAAAATGTGAAAGGTGGTCTATAATGCCCCGCACGTTTCATCATGTATTTCTCTGGTAACTTGCAGTCCACAGCACCAGGATGATTCTTGATATGTCCCACGGGACCGTTTCCATCATGCGTGCTCCCGAGCCTGCGTAAATATCGTTCATGTTGAGAAAAAACCATGTAATGCTCAACACTATAATCAGGGACAGATTAAGAAACGCATAGCGGGGCACATCATGGTCAAGGTTGTTGCCCGAGTGATTCTTTCCTCGGCCTTCCTATCGGCCCATATCGCATTGTCCGTGGCGATGATAACAAACATGGGATTCGATGACGGTGACTGAAAAAGCTTTTCTCGAATCATATGTTCAACACATGTGCATATAAGAGAATCGACAGGATACTTACAAATGCCCAATTTCGTGGGCTATTGTGCCGAACATATAGTAAAGAGGAGGTCGTTCCTCAGCTATTCCTACATTTGAGCCACTCACACAGATCATTCCGGTAAAGGCGGAACCTGGAAATAACAATGCATCTGCTGATTGCCAAATACATTCAACAACGTTTTTTTTTTCTTTCAAACTCTTGAAATACGCTTCGAAGTGAATGTCATCCACTTTGGGAAAAGGGAAATTTAGGAATATGAGACGTTTAGCCACTTAAAAGTGAAAATTAGGCGTGAGCGCTTCTGCAAAATTTTTGAATACCTAGGATTCAAGCCGTATCTAGAGGTCGGGTGGCGAGCTTAAATGGCCCTTGAAAGAAAAAAAAAAGAAAACAATCTGGCGTGCCAAAAAAAATTTACGCGAAAAATATTTTTAGAGCAATATTGACGGCGAGAAATTTATTTGGAATTCTGAGCTCAAAGTACATTACATCACGGAATGGTCCTTCGCTCAAAGTGATGAAATTCGCTTTTTCCAACTCAACGTGAAGGCGAAGCCGATCGACCTCTCCTCAACGCGCCCGAAAAGCCGAGAGAGAAAACAAGTGGAAAGCAGGTGACTATCAACTAAAGGGCGTCTCGCGCCATCAATATTGTTCTAAAAATGTTTTAGAGCGCAGCTCTTAAGGGCCCGTTCCCGGCTTGAGCGGCGTCGCCGTCGCCGTCGGCGTCGGCGTAACCAAGGTCAACCCAAGGTCACGTGACCCCCAAGGTCATCCCAAGGTCACGTGACCCCCAAGGTCATCCCAAAGTCACGTGACCCCCAAGATCATAACAAGGTCACGTGACCCGCAAGGTCACGTGACCCCCAGAGGTCACGTGACCCCTACCCAAGGGTCACGTGGCCCACAAGGTCACGTGACACCCAAAGTCACGTGACTCCCCAAGTCACGCGACTCCCCAAGTCAGGTGACCCCCCGCGAGGTCACGTGACCACCCCGAAGTCACGTGACCTCCTTAGGGCCACATGAACCCCTCCCCCGAGGTCACGTGACCCCCTCCCCAAGGTCACGTGACCCCCTCCCCCCGAGGTCACGTGACCCCCGAAGTCACGTGACACCCCCCGAGTCTCGTGACCACCCCCAGGGTCACGTGACCCCCCGCCGAGGTCACGTGACCTCCCCGATGACGTCATCAGTGACGTCACTGATGACGTCACCGACATCCGCATCGTCATCGTCACCATCGCTGATGACGTCATGGGAGTCCGCATCGTCACTGATGACGTCATCGGAGTCCGCATCGTCATCGTCACTGATGACGTCATCAGTGACGTCACTGATGACATCATTGGCATTTTCACGTGACCCAAGGTCACGTGACCCCCCAGGTCACTTCACCCCCCCCGTACCCTTCCCTCCTCCTCCTCAAGAGCTGCGCTCTAATTCGGTGCTACAGGGAGTTGTGAACGGCTTTCACTTTTTTTACGTATAGTTTGTTTTTGACACGCGTGTCTCAACCAATCTGTTTAAAAAAATTTTTTTTTTCAGAGGCCCTTTAAGAGGAAATGTGCCTTTAGAAACAAATGAACAAACAAACGCGCAAACGAACATCTACAAATGTTTTTAAGCGAAAAAATAATTTACGAGTGACTAAACTCTCAGTCTCTGGCTAAATGTAGAGCTCGGTGTTCGAACCTGATGCCAAAGTTTCCAAACTTGCTGGCTAAAAGTTTATGAACATTTTAGGGAATTCACAATTAGACGAGGTCAGTCAACGAAGTCCACCAACGCATAAAGATGAGTGACGTCGGGTATCGATAACAGGACTAATTTTGCCAGTGGAAATATTTAAAAATCCGTTCTAACTTCTGAATCTGTTAACAGTGAGTTCTAAAACTGTGGCATCAGGTTGTACCGTTAGAGCTCCGTTTGTTGGGCACTAAGCGTTGGGCAATGCTTATGTTATTTTGTCATGAAATACACTATTTTTGCGGTCACATGTACACTTCCGGCCTTACAGTTTTACGCATAAGAAAAATGTACAGTCATAATTTGTTGTTGATTTTTCCTTTTGGTATTGTAGAAATCTCACCACGAATATCAGTGAAATTTTCAAGAGATATTTGTTGAATGTGATCTTTATGATCATCATCTGACGACAACCCTTCTCGTCCAATTTTATTTGTGAACTAAGTGGCCAGAACGTCTTTTAAAAACATTTTTTTAACTTTCTGTAACTGCTTATGCTAATTTTATACAGTAAAGGTCACCTTCCGTGAAAACGGCGAACAACTTACAAATCCCACTCAGTAATTCGTGTTGCTAATTAGCAGAAACGGCGTTATTCGTTAGACATCTCTCGGAAATACCAGGAAAACTCTGGTTTTTTCAAGATTCAGCATAAATGTGTTGTCCGGAGCATCTTCTGACCCCGCTCTCTTACCGTAAACATTAGGAGATACTTTATTAGTGTTCTTGTTGCGTGTCCCTAAGCGGCGCCTGAAATGCAATTATAAAAATACTAATTATGCCCATTCCTGCTTTTATGAACATTAATCACGTGCAACTCTGTACGTACAGTGCGCCGCAATATGAAAGACCCACTCGGAGCGCGTGGCCGAGCGCTCTTAGTGGGTCTTTCATATTGCGGCGCACTGTACATATAATTTCTGCTTTTTAGGCTTTACATGTCATTTTACAGAAAAACCGTGAACGCTACACTTATGTGATCTCAGCAGGTGACTTACACGACGGTGCGAATGTAGCAGAGGTAACTTGTAAATGAACGTTCTCATTTATAAAAGAAAAAGAAAAAAAAAACATATCATTCCTATTAGAAGGTAGTTCAGTGTCATCAAAGAGCACTAAATTCGTTAATTTTAGGAAATTGTGGAGCATTTGGGAAGGGCAGTGGCTCTGACGTTACCACCCGTGCAATCTGTACAAGGTTGGCACTGCAATAACGCTGATGATAATATTGTCGTCTGCGTTTACCCATCGCCTTGCCAATCTAAAAACTCGATTTTGAATATGATATTTACCCACGGCAGTTACCACACCTTTCTCTAAGCCATTGCTTTGGACCTAACGAAGAGGTTGCAGATAAAAACTTCATTCAATCATATGAAGTGGAAAAAGGTGTTTATCGGGAAAAGCAGATTTTTTTTTTTTATTTTTAAGAACATTAAGAAACCGCATGAAATATTAGAGATCCGCTAACCTCACTTACTATGCATAAACAATCGAGCAAAATCAATGATTTTACTTAACCTTTGCACAATACATTTTGTTACCTTGATATTGTTTCTTAATATCTGCTGCCAGGAAATTCTAAAACCTAAAGCTGTGACGCTTGTGACAGCTTAATACTGAAATATTGAGACCACTCTGATTCAATACAAAAATGACTTTGATATCGTCGGAAAAATGACAAGAATAGCTTGTAGCAGGCAGCGCGTATTAGCCGAAACTATACACCTCTACCCCTCGTTTCGAGGGGGAATTAAACGTTTCCCCCACGTTCCTTGTCGCCTTGCCATAAAATAAATTTTACCGGCCCATAAAAAGGGGGTATGTTTTAATTTGAGATTGAAATTTTCTTTACACAGTCTTACTGGGTTGAGTCAAACCGAAGTACGAGGGTAGCTAAGGGGGCGATGAAGGCGAGTTGGTTCATGACTAGGTAAGGTAACTACAGCGCAGAGAAAGACGAATACGAAGAAATGACACATAATAGCACATATGTTTCCTCTCTTGGACACATTTCATTTAGACATATACCGGCGCATATGTGTCAAACTAGATACCGCCTCCAAATAGCTGAACTATGTCGAAATAAAGATAAAAATGTGTTATTGTCTGCAAGAAAACAAGAATACATATAATTGTTTTGCACCTGTAATCTCAGATGGTGTTAGTATAGTGCGAGTGGAACGCTTGTTTGCTTGTAGTGCGAATGATACCGATGACTTAAGAAAGGCATATCAAAGCTTTCCAGGTCGTTTGAAAGTTAAAACAGCTCCTCTTTGGGCGTTTTTCACCTAACAAAAAGGCGGTCTGCTTGAACAAAATTTACAACCTCCCGTTTCAGTAAATGCGAATGTTGATTATGATTGAGTCGGTTTCTTTTTGTTCTTGCGTCGTTTTTATATTGTATGTTTCTGAGGGTCGTTGGTTTAGCGCTCGTCCTGTATTCTTTATGTATTCTTCTGTGCGCTGTATTTGCCTTCTCTAGAGGAAGGAGAAATTGAAAACTTTTCGGAATCGCCGCCAGCTAATTGTATTTTTCCGTTAAATATTGTTATAGTGTTGTGCTGAACACTCTTTCAATTAAATTGAATGCAATTATCATATGGATCTATCCAATAGTCTAGTTTTGGCAAACATTCAAGTGAAACAAACTTGTGCATTTTTATTCATAAATAAAATCAATGGCACATTGGTCATAAGGATTTTTTTACATTGTCAGATTCCAGCGTCAACTAAATAGTTGATCTAAGACAACCATAAATCATGGCCGCTCATTCCAACCACCGGAACCAACAACAACCTTGCGCTGCTTCTTTCTCCTCCACTCGGCGACTGTTGCCATGCATAGCCGCCCTGTCGGCATATAAATGCAGTCTTGGGGATATCCTTGTGGCGTACAGGAATCTGGAGGAAGCCTTGGGACAGGTTGAAGCTTGTGAACCACTGAGTTCTGCCAAACTCTGCCAGTACCCAGTCTGTCCGTGGCATTGGGTTTACGGGAACTTGAATTTTAGCATTGAGCGGCCGGTGATCCATAGCTAATTGGTACACTCCCGACTTCTTCGCAACCAGGACTGGGGCACAGGACCACTGGCTAAAGCTGGGCTGTATCAAGTTCTGCTGCAGCAGATCCTCGATGCACGAATATATTATCTGCCTTTTGTGGGCATCAATCGGGCGAAGCCTGCAGCGAATCGGCGCGGAATCTCCAGTTTTGAAGGTGTGCTCCATCAGTCTCTTGCAGACAGGCCGTTTGTCAAATAGTGCGTCAAAATTTGCCAGCATGATTAAAACATTCGAATGCTTTGCATAGTCAACATCAGGACTGTTGTCGTGCAGCAGATGCCGAGCATTTGTAGCCATGTTCTTGTTATGGTAGGCCTGAGGCCTGTCATTCTTTCGTAGAAACTGATCATCGCAGGCTATTCTCTCCGCACACCAGGGCCTTCACTGGACTGGGCGAACAAATTCTCTAATCTGTACACTTGTTTGTTACTGGTCTGACTGGAGTCTTCTCCATAGATTTCGCTCTTGGAAGACGGGACAAGCTTGTGTTGTTCAGACCCTATCGTCCAAGCACTCAAAGAAATATATATGGAGATGCCAGTAGCGTTAAGAAAGTCACTGCCTAGCACAATGTCCCTGCAAAGTCCTGGCATGAAGAGGGATCGCTGTTTGCGTGATCCCCCTGTCCAATGCACTAGGCATCGTACGGTGCTTGCTGTCTGAGACCAACCGGCTGGAAGACGAAGCCAGTGCTGTTCTTCTCGAACAGTCGCTCCTCCAGCCACTGCTGGCTCAATCACTGCCTATCCTGCTAGATTGACGCTTGTTACGGTGTCCAGGAGTCCGTGAAAGATACTGTCCCCTATGCGAAGCTCCGCAAGTGGCTCTTTTTGACAGGCTGCTGCAGTATACCCGCACTGACATTTAGACTTTTGCCGGTATGTCGTCTACTGCCCGCCGTTTCCCGGACAACTCGCTTGCATATGTCCGGGCTCGTTGCAGCGAAAACAATGAGGTCCGCCCCGGCACCGTCTTGCGCCCGTGGGACACGGTGACATGTGTCCCACGCCCCCGCACCTGTGACACAGTAGCTGGCGATGTCATGGATGAAGAAAGAATAAACAATTAAAACAGGGACAACAAAACTACATCTTTCATCATGGATGAAGAAAGAATAAACAATTAAAACAGGGACAACAAAACTACATCTTTCAAACCAACCAACACGCTCTTCTACTAAGCATAGCTGGCGATCATAGCTGTTTTCTTGGGGCACGGCCTGCTGTCCGATTGGGCTGCCGAAACCCACGTGGAACGGTACTACGCTGTGCGTCGCGACAGCACCGAGTTGGTTCCTGAAGTACGAAGGGTGCAGGGCCTTCGGATGCAGGCACCAGGAATACGCGTTTGGAGCAGCAAGGGTGGGCGTGGTCTAGGCTGCAATAATCTGATTTGTCACTGGAACTGGACGAGTCACTGGAGTCGCCGTTCGACTTTGGAACGCCAAAACCCGGGCCACTTGGTTTGGAAATTTGGGAGGGGGTACATATTAGAGACGTCGCCACATGGGCTCCATTAATTCATCCGCAGAGTCAGCGAGTTCCTTCAGCGTTGAAAAAGGTCCTTTCTTCAACAAGATCTCGGAACTGCGAGTGCCCCCATCTGTCAAAGTACCCTCTCCACCTTCTGCGTATCTGTCACAGGCTCGCCGATCTTGTCGTAGTAACTGCTGATGACATATATGAACTGCTTCAGGTTTTCCTCGGGGTGTTGAGTTCGTTTCCGCAGTTCCTCTTTCAGTCGCTTCGTATTGTCACCACACTGTGCTCGTTTGTGTCAAAAAATATTTTTTACGACTTTTGCGTTGAAATAAAAGCTAATCCGTGTTTCGTTCGTTATGGACGTCAAAGATTTAATCTAAACGGTGCTTATTTATTGTAAACCCAAAAATTCTTTCACGATCGCTTTAATATATTATATATCCTTTGTGAGCATTGAATCGCCATAAGAAACTATGATATGTTATTTCTGCGAAACGGCACAACTCGACCTCACGCTGAATTACGTGATATCGCTTACCCAACGAGCATAAAGTAGAAGTCGGCAGGCCTTGCAAACGTGGTGCTTGCTGTGAATTGTCCAAAGGCTCTTAGTGACTCATGCGATGAGACTATATTATCTTCCTCCACAATGAAATACTCATCTTCTTTCGTCTGTAAGCATAAAGAATTAAACGAAAATATTTATATTCATTACGTTTTCAACTTCAAATTACACCGCCGTTGAAAAGGGTGGTTCTTGGTTATAATCGAAAAGTGGTACTTTCTAGATGCAATAATATGTCTCGGTCTAGTTGTTTATAAAATTGTGCAATACTTGGCATTGAGTTTACTAAGTAAAATCAGCTAAATGAAACATACGGACCTGTGCGAAAAAGAATTAGAAAGGAGCCAGTTTTGATCTGACAGCGCCATGTGTCACGAGAAAATACAAATTGTTCAAAATTGAAATAGAAAACGAACGGTTACTTCCAACTAAAACCAATGGCTTTGACTGCGCGAACAGAGAGTGTTGTAACTTTGATTTAGACAGATATATCCCCGATTGCTCTTCCGTGGCGCTATCGCTTTGATACACAAGTTTTCGTTTTCTTATTTATTTACACGGTGCTATAAAATCACGACATTTAAATAGTGCTAGCTCATGGCGGAAATAAGCAGTTTATTTGTTACCCTAGCCGAATCATAGGAACCCTTGTTTGCAACACAGATCGACGCTCCTTTCTTACCTTGTTCGAGGCTCCAACATACCATCAGATATATGTGTACAGGCACGCACTAGCCCCCCCCCCTTTCCCTTCCCTCCTTTCAGGCTTGTTTGAAACAATTGTTCGGCATTCGATTAAAGGGATACCATCTGTTTGCGACAAACGTATCTTGGTTTTATTTCTCACACATCACACACTGGTACAACGAATCAACTGCAACTTTTTTCACACACTTATTTCTCCGGCTAAAGCTCTCAGCAATGCTCATATTCAAAAAAAGAGTTTGGGCATAGTTCAGAAAAAAAAATAAAAAAAACGAAAGCCGTTTACAACTTCCTGTAACGCCGGATTAGAGCGCAGCTCTTGAGGAAGAGGAGGGAAGGGTACTGAGGGAAGAATATACCCCTCCTCCCTCCTCCTCACCTTTTCATCCTGTCTGCTACACCCCCTCTGAGCGGCGTCGCTGTCGCCTTACGAGGGTCACGTCACCTCACGGGGTTCACGTGACCCCTGTTAGGTCACGTGATTACGATAACCGAATCGTCATCGTCATCGTGATGACGTCATCAGTGACGTCATGTGACGGCACGGCATCGTCACTGATGACGTCATCGGTGACGTCACGCGCCCGATAATGCACCGCGCTGTTGCAACGACGCCGACGGCGACGGCGACGCCGCTCAATCTGGAAACGGGCGCCTAAGAGCTGCGCTCTAAAAAATACGAAATGACATTACTCTGGAATCGAACTTCAATATCCGCCAGTTGTCTGACTTTATTAGCCCACTTGTGGTCTTGCGCACGAACGCGTCCCCCGCTTCCAAAATGAAGCAGGATGACCCTTGTTTGGGCCTCGTCTCTCTCGATTAAATCAATGAACGCGAAGGGGTTCGGGTGCGCTCTTCCCGTCACGGATTTGATTTTTCAATGCCATGCCTCCACATGGCTGTTGGTTCAAATCCTTCGTTTCGGTGGTGGTTACCCTGTTCCAGGTGAAAAATGACACTCATCCGATTCGCGTCAAAGTAATCGAATTATCCCATAAGCTCCGAACTCCCAGTAATATACCCTCCTGACGCAGAAACGCCGTGGGGCGAGGGATGTGAGAAGGCGAAACAAAGGAAAGTGACATGAGCTTACGAATGACCGCCTTTAGCTGCCAACAGGTTTTGCCCAAAAATGAAAGTGACTCCCGCGATGAGAAGCTTGGTCAAATACTCCGCACATTCCAACAATAAGCGCCTGCTCAAAACCCGTCACGAAACTTTGAGGGGTCGATGAAGCAATCCCAGCAGGCGTCAATGACAGTATAACCAATCAAACGTACGGACATAAATTTGTCGCTAACCGACTTGACAACAAAAAGTAAATGGCTGCGCTATGCACTCCGACCAGTTACAACACGCAGTTACAAGTTGATCAAGCATGTAAGATACAACAAAGAAACGTCGCGTCCGCAAAAATAATTGTGGCTGACGACAGCCGCTGCATGTCATCTCGTGTTGCGAAGTCATCGCAGGAGTCGTCAATGATAGCAAGGGCTCTGCGCTTTTCTGTTGTGGGCGTCGTTGAGTTGCAGACCGTCGGTTGGTGAAGGAAGCGGTGGCTGCGCTGAGCGCCTTTACCATTGCATCCTTCAGGCTGGCAAACATGGGTATATCTGCTGCTTCTTCACCTGGCACCGAGAATAAATTTAGTGGTTTGGTTTAGCTAACTTTGCATGATACTTCGTAGACGTGATATAGATAACCATATGGAAGGATACTGCAGAGCAGGTTTCGAGAAGTTCCTTGTTAAACAAACTTCGCACGGCCGTATTCGGGTTGGGTGCTGCTGACGCTTTCAGCGCCATGCGCAGCTGGTCCCTCACAAGCGTCGGCTCGTGTGTTGCATGGTTATGGTCGCCTATAAGTGAAAGGAGCGTAAATGTGCAATGGCATTTTGACGGCCCGTAAGCATATACCTGGTGGCGCTAGTAAGAGTAAGTCAGGAACGAAACAAATGCAGTGGTTTTTTTCATGTCTAGATCGTCAAAGACTAATTGAATTTAGAAACTTACGTGATCTATTTTCACATTGTCCTCTTCAATCAAAATCGAAGCCGCGCATCTTGATAAAGTGTAACGGCAACAACACGTAACCGTTCAGTTTGCATTTTGCCGTTGTTCGTGACCTATGCAACCTTCAAGGTAAAGACACTTTTGTTTTCTGCGTGTCACTCTGTACAAACTCGAAAATCTCCCCTGACTGATGTCTCACTGTTGATTAGGTAATGTTGTATTTCAGAGTGCAACGTTAATTTTTTTTACTGCGATGGGGACTTACAGTTACGTGTTTCGACACATACACGGTTCTGCGTTTTATGACTCATCGCCAGTGTTGGGTAACGCGTTACAAAAAACGACGTTACCGGTAATGTGTTTCTTTTTATCGGTAACGCGTAACCTACTCGTTACTTTTTTCAAGACAGCAATGGGTAATGTATTTATGTTACGTATTTCGGAGTAACGGGTGACGGATTTACGTTGCTCGTAACTTTTTGTTTATAAAACTTAAAAGAAAAATAACCCAATTGTTCTTTCGTGCTTCGAGGCGCCAATTGGCTGTGGTTTTTTTTTTTCGTTTTTCTTCGCGTTTTTTTGGGGGGGAGTAGTTAGATGAATCCATGAAAAAGATAAAGTAATTATGTTCAGAGTCTGCATAGACGTAATGTTCCTCTCGGTATTTCTATCATGATTTCAATCGTGATTTCAATCAGACCTGTTTCGCTACGATAATGAAGATCAAAGCATTTTCACAAAAATAATCTCAAAATAGCTTTATTATTTACCATTTGTCTATCATAAAATATAAACAAAACAAAAATACTCATATTGCCGCGCGCGCAGTAGGCGCGTCGGCCATGGCCCAACGGTTATCGTGCCCGCCTCTCACGCGAAGTGCACGGGTTTGATTCCTGGGAGCGACGCGTCTTCTGTTTATCCTTGCAATTTAGTGTTCTAGTAAATTCGAGAATCCCGTTGCTTGTTCGAGGTGCGAATGTTCTCGTCGCCGAACCTTCTAGGCCGACTGTTCCAGAAACCAACGCGTGTACATAAGGGGCCCCGCTTGGCAATCCTGAGTCAGTTTTCGCCCCTGCGTTCGACTCTGCTGCTACGCCGACTTCGGCACCCGCGACGCTCTGTTCTTATCTTTCGTACCCCTTTTATTTTTGGCACAAGTTCGCCACATTAAACGTTTATTTATTCCTGCTTATTTCTTGTTTATTGATCACCACCCGTGACATTCTGGTGGAGGTGCCGGGTATCTGCATTCTATGCCTGTGCACCCTACCCCTCCGAAAACACGCCGGCCAAGTGACGTGCTCAGCCCAGGGAGGCTACCCTTCGCAGAAGACCAGACCAAGGCCCGGTCAAGTCGCCGTAACCAAGGCCTACCCCCTGAACTCGGACCCCTGCCGCAGAATCCAAAGAAGAAGATTGCGAGGATGGTCAGTCCACCCGTTGTTGTCCTACCCTTTGCTGCCCGTACGCCTGCGTCCTTTCACGGTGAGCCTCATGAAGACATCGAGGACTGGCTACAGCAGTACGAGCGAGTGGCCCAGCACAACCGTTGGAAGGACGAACAGCGCCTGCAGAGTCTTTACTTTGCGCTCGAAGGGACGGCCAGGCAGTGGTTCGAGAATCGCGAGACCTCCTCGATCTCGTGGACCGCCTGCAAGGATGCGCTGAGACGGACATTCGCCAGCCAATATCGACGGGAGAAGGCCGAGGACCTTCTTCGAATGAGGACACAGGGTTAAACGAGACTATCACCAGTTTCGTCGAGGATGTTTTGCGCCTGGTCGCTCGCGCCGACCCTCAAGCCACCGACGAAAAAAAGCTGCGGATTTTAATGCGAGGTGTCAAGGATGACATTTTTGGTGGACTCGTTCGTTACCCCCCATGCACCGTTGAAGACTTCGTCACGGAGGCCACGAACATGGAACGTGCCCTCCTCGCAAGAGCCAGCCACTACCATCGGCACTCGAGCGTCGTTGCTGCTTCCGCATCGGGCTACGACATCAGCCATAGCATCCCCGGCCTTCGCGACATCATCCGCGACATCGTCTGGGAGGAGCTTAGGAAGCTTCTGCCGACTGCTGAACGCCCGGCCTCAATCTCCATTGCCGAGGTCGTCCGAGACGAGGTTCAGCGAGCGCTCCTACCAGGTGCCCCTGTCACCATGACCGCACCCGAAAAACCGACACTGACCTACGCCGCCATGACTCAACGACCGCGCAAGATCACCGCCAGGTCACGGCACCACCCCGACGTGAACTTCCAGCGCCGAGGTTCTCCCGACGCCAGGAAGATCGGGCGCACGCCCACCCAGAACGAGCAGCGCCACGAAAGACCGACGTGTGGAGGACGGCCGATCGACGCCCGTTGTGCTATTACTGCGGTGA